AAAAAAAACACCAAAAAAAACCAAAAAAAATACCCAAAAAAAACCTGGACCCGTGAGGAGGACATCCACGCTGCGAGGTGCTGGTCCGTAGACACTTGGAGTCAGAATCTAGTCAGTCCGTTCCTTCGCCCTTGCCTGTGCTTTTGCCCTTGGATGACTTGCCTCCTCTGCCGCCTTTTGCTTTTCCACCAGGAGGTTGTGCGGGTTCGACTGGACGTTCCGAACGCGAGACAGTTGCACCACAAATTCCCTCGCCCTGCGGAGAGCTTGTTCCAGTAGGTGTTGGCTGTGCAGGATCAGCAGATCCTTGAGCCTTGTTTGCCTTCTGTCTCGCCTTTCGTTTGTCGGCTGCCTCCTTGACCGGGGATTACGGTCCATCGCTGTCGTCATCCCACCAAAGTACACAAATCGCGTGGACCTCGATGAAGAGAGGAGTGTGAGCGTCATAGTCCCGGTCTCTACGGAGGTAAACCACCGAGGCGGAAATCAGAAGCCATTCGGAGACGCTGGCCTTGTGTTTCGGCTGACCAGACTTCAGCCCATTGATCGTCGTCCATTGAGCGGCCCCATTCGACGACAGCAGCAACCAATGGATCCAACGTAGGAAATGTATTCCAGTCGGGCTGTTTGCACTCCTTGTAAGGACGGCCAAGTTGGTCCTCGTACTGCTTGAGTAGATAGAGACTGTTTGCTGAAACGTGCCGGTGGGGGCGGGGCGGACGCGGGCGGGCGGGCGGGCGGGCCCCACTCCTCTTGAAAGAGACGGCCACAACAGTCCCCCACGCCTCTGACAAGCAGCGCAGTCCGGTCCGAATTTCATCGCGGCACCGCAAAGCTTCGAAGCTCGTGGTATCTTCGCCGTCAAAACTAGCAGCTAACTAGCAGGTAGCAGTTAGAGCACGCTGTTGAAGTCTCTGCTCTCGCGGGGCCATGGCCTCCCCCGGTTTCCGAGGCTTCTCTTACATGTTCACAAGAGCATGTTGGGAGCTCGCGCCGGTGCCTGACGTGGAGTGGTCCGAGGCGCGGAGCCCCCAGAGCTGTTGGCCCGGCTCTCCTGGCCTCGCAGGACATCAGCTTTTACGAGGAGTTGCGGCGTTTGCAGGCGCAACTGCGGGCATCCTGGTGGCACTCGCGTTCGGGGCCTGCTGGCACCGGTGCCGATAGGTCCCAGTGGTACCAGTCCCACTACCTCCGGGCCATAAGGCTGTGTGCACGAAGCTCAGTTGAGTTCGGCCCACGAACAAATGCAACAGTGTGCAGAGAGTGCGCCAGCGTCCAAGTCTCAGGTGCGCACAGCTACCACGCCAAGGTGAGAAAGCGAAGCCATGATATTGAAGATCTATTCGCAGTGTTGTCTCGAGGTGAACACCAGCGGTGGAGAGCCGGAGCCCTAGAGCGGAAAGGATCCTCGAAGAAGTCATGTGCACCAGGTTCTCGGGCGCGCTGCGCTGTGGCGAGCCGGTGCCAGAGCCCCCTAAAGCCTTTAAGGAGATCCAATTGTTGATGTTGTGTGAGAAACGATAGCTTCTCAAAAACTGAGCAGGAACTGCTTCCGTTTGCCAAAGTGGCCACAGAATCGGCATTGCAACGGAGGCGAGGATGGGTGATAGTTGTGACATCCATCTGCACCTTCGATGAATGGATTGTGCAGGTCAGCAGATCTTGCCGTGGCCTCAGCCGCAAGTTTCTTTTTGCTGGTATCCCGCGGTGGAGTTTTTGAGGCCACAGGAGAGAAGCAAGGCTTTCGAGTCAGTCTCTCTGAAAAGAAGGACGCGCCAAGCTTCATGAGAAAAGCCTCCTGTGATGCGTCGCGAGTCCTGCGACGCTTTGGACCCAGGAGTTTCTGCAGTGCCGAGGGCAGGCCTGGTTCGCGTACGCCCGATGGGAGCCGGGTCGAATGCGAGCTCGCAGAATCGCAGCGTCACAGCACAGTGACATGCCACGATCTCTGCAGTCGAGTCCTGTCGAGTCTCGGTCTGGGGGAACTTTCCCTCACAGTTAGGATCTGGTTCTGTTAATGTCGCAAAGCACCTGTTCGTGATGAGCTTCTGTCTCGAATCCGAGTCTTCTCCAACTGTCCTTCGTCTGCCATCTTTGCTTCGGGCGCCAGGGAACTTGTCCGTAGCTCAAGATGCATGCCCGTAAAGTGTTCGAGGTACCAACAGCAGAGTGCTGAACGCAAAGGCACCATGAGGGGTCAGGCCGGTCCACGCGAAACACGGCAAATACCGCAATCGGATTCGTGAAGCTTCTCCTGAAGAGACCAGGCAAAGTCTATCGCAACGTGGCCTACATCGCCGACATTGCTGTGTCCTGAGGATGCTGCGGCTTAAACAGCGCACCATGTTCTGCCGGCCTCACCCAAGGCCTTCGTGAGATCACGTGATATGTACAGAGGCGACATGGGCCGACTGGTCTGCCGGGTGGTCTGATCGAGATGCTTGCAAAATCGGACTCCTCGAGTTCCGCGCTTTCTTCCTGGCTTCCGTTTCCCATTCTTCCCATGGGCCAAAGCCTGCGCTTCATCCAGCGGTGGCTCGAATGGGGGCAGGTCGTTTAGGAGCCGTTTAGTTCCGTCCGACGGACGGGCGCCGCTGGAGAGAAGGCCCCTGCCTATGTCTTATGTGCCCCCTGCACTCCGGTCCCCGGCCCCCTCCCCGGCCCAGCTCTGCAGGATGGAGCCACCGACGACCGTGACCATTGCATCCGCGCCGGAAGCTCGGAAGCGATGTCACCAACTTGAGCAAATTTATTTTCAATGTGTTTGGAGGCCCGACGAAGTCGACTTCGGCGCCATCATGGAACTTATGTGCTTGGGCTCTTCTTGGGTTGTGTCACTCTTCGAGTGAAATCGCGCAGCAGCGCAGCGGATGCCACGCTTGTGTCCGAGGACTTCCAAGTACACCATTGACCTGGTAGCCGAGTGCTTTTCTATTGCTGGAAACCTCCGCATGAAGTACTCAATGCATGCTGTGGCTGAGGACCGACACGTCGCTGCAATACGCAAGCTTTGCAAGGTCTGCTGCAATGGCACGGTGCCTACATGTGACCACTGCTCTTGATCTCAGAGCCCGAGAGCCCGGCCAGATGCGTCCGGAGGTTTCCTCTTGAAGCACTTGGAAGCACTGGTCGACCTGCTACATTTGGCCGCATGGACCTCCGATCAGCGTATAAGGCTTTGCATAGGAGCCTGCCTAACCCAGTGATCAGGTCGAAAGATTTGCTGAAGGCCGGTGGATCCCGGAAACGCGCTGAAGCAAGACATAGCAGGACTGCAAGATGATCCTTCTTTCTCTGGAGGCCAAGACTTGGCGCAGGCTTTGTGTGACTTCACCCGCGTGGCATCACAGCCGTTTGTCAGCTGCAAGGCTGGTCGGCATTCGCTGTGGGGTTGAAAAAAAAACGGCACCCTGTCCCCTCGCTGAGACTTCGGACATGATCACCTACGGCCACCACCTCCCTGCCTTCATCAAGGTGGGCCCTGCTCTCTTGGTCAACCGCACTTTGTTGCCAGAGTTCTTCGAACAGGGCTTGGTCAGTGTCCTGACCTACACACTGCCGGGAGCGAGTGAGGCGGAGCGAAGGGGGGAGCTGTCGTGGAGGGCCTACTGAGAGCTTTCGAGACCGAGGCCCGACAAGAGCGAAAGGCCATGTTCGAGCGCCTTCGGATCGAGGTGCGTGAGTCGCAAAACCGCGAAAAGCCATCGCCAGAGCCGTCGTAGGTCGCCCACACCCTGGCTTGCTGGGCCCGTTTCGGCCTGGACGAAGACAGCTTTGGCCCTAAGAAAAGGGGAGGTACGCACAGCGGGGGCACAGCGGGATCCCAGGCGTAGAGCTCTTGCCGAATCAGCCGCTGATCCAAGCGGTCGCGGATTCCGGGCCGGGGCCTTTGAGCGAGTCGCTCTCTCTGCGCCTTTCTCCGCTGGCTGAGGACCCCAAATTTGCGGATTCTGCGACAGTCCAACGTCATGGCGGGGGAGCCCTTTACGCGAGCCGCGGCCCCCACGCGCAAGTCCAAGCGTTTGCAGCTCCCAGGATGCAGTCTCCGCCTCCTTCCGCTCGGAAGACAGCCCCGAGGCAAGACTCCTTTCATCTCCTTTCCTGCGCTACCAGAGATCAGATATCAGCTATCGAGCTGCCAGTCTATCGTCATCACCCTTGGTGCGATCCGCGACATGTTCCTTGGAAAAAGAATCGCTCTTGCAACGTGGTCGGCAACTCCTCCAGAGCTGAGGTCCTTGTACAGGCCCCTCGCATGCCAGATTACCAATTGCGGTTTGATCTCCAACCTTGTCCACGTCATCCGTGTGAATTTGCTCGGCCAACCCCTGAGTACAAACTATTGACTCCAGGGTCGCTGGGCAAAACTTAAGCTGCCTCAGAAGGCTCTGACGTCCTGCTTGTGGCGGCAGAGGTTCTGTGGAATGCCTCGGTCCAAGTTCCGACCGTGACGCGAGGCTGCGAGGCACTCTTGTGGAGCCCTTGTGCGCGCAAGGTTCTGGAGCTCGACTGGGCCATGCCGGCAGCTTCGGAAGAGAGGGGAGACAGCGAAGCAGAGAGGGGCCAAGTATCAACGCTTCTGAGGATGAAACACTTTTGTGGCTCGTGAGATTGAGGGTCGAAGCGCGGGTGAAATCGTAGAAGATCCGCAAAATCCGCACTGCAGGGGGTCCTCTGCGACCGTTCCCTTCTGTCTGCCAGGATGGGGCGACCGAAGCCCTCGGCCAAGAGGAGGCGGGGTCCGCTTCATGTCGATCTGCTCCAGCAATCTGCTCCGACTGCGCCTCTCGGCTCCTCTCGCCTATCCCGGTGATCTTATCATGGAAGATGAAGGCTTAGCCAGGCTTCAGCGCAGTCGAACATTGGACGTCGGAATCCCTGCGGCGGTCTGCTTTGAAGGCTAGAGACCTCACACAAATCAATTAATTTCACCGCGGCTCAAGAGTTCGACTTGCCGGCCCTACTCCGGGGAAACCGTAAGGCTTCCATTGCACGTCGGCTTCTGGAGGGAGCGAGGGAGTATAATGTTGCTCTGGGTTTAGTGGGGCGAGGGGGAACCCCCTCAAATATTTCCTCCCGGCCTGAACAGCGCGATGACGCAAGTGCTGTCCCATGCTGTTCCTGTAGAGTGGCACCCCATGGTGTTTCATGTTCGGACCCGTCGTCGTGAATCCTCATCGCTCCTGCAGCTCCTGAGACTTTTTTGTATCTCGAGGAAGCCTCAGCTGTTAGCGTGGATGGAAGCTTAAGACTGCTTTGGCAGCACTAAGCACTTCTGGAGATACCACATTGAGGTGCTACGCGTAGGCGGCGTAGTGGCCGCCTCTCTTGCACGTGCCAGCTGCAAAAGCTCGGAGTGACAGCTGAGATACCACCCCGATACAGCACAGCCAAACAACTGGTGGGAGCTCGAAATCTTGGACAAAGAAGCCGCCATAGAGGAGCTTATCAGGTTGAGCAAGACAGGCGCATGAAGTCTACGATTGGACACTCCGCGACAACAAGCGGAAGCAGCGATGTAGAAATGTGACGAGGGAATTCAGGGCAGGTGCATCAAGTACCTCCGAAATTTTCTCGCCGAGGGCATCTGGGTGCGGAACCCACGAACGTGATCTGGCTCTGCAATTCAGTACTGAGACGGGCAGACCTACAGTGCTTTGCGCGCTGTGTTGAGGTCGACGTTTCGGTGTGTCTTGTGGTTTGGGGCTCTTGGCAGTAATTTCAGCCGCTCCGAACAAGTTCCCACGCCGAGGGATTTTCTGCAAGCATGCAGATGAAACTCGTTGTAGCCCATGGTTCTGCAGCTGTAGGGCGCCGACTCACATCCCCTGGTGTATCCGTCACCTGCAAGGCCACTGTGTAGCCTTGCTAACTAATGCACAGATGCATGAGCCGAGCCGACACAGTCGATGTATCCGCCCAATACGAGGGACCAGGTTTCTGTCTTTCCGTCAAATATCCCAACAGAGTCCACCCCACCTCGTGCATTGCAACTCTTCAACTGCCGCTGTCCTTAGTGTTCCATCCTCATGCCGCATGTACGGTCCAGCACATGTTTGTCTTTCTTTTGTACTGTTCATGGGCAGTACATGGGGGATGAGACATGAGGCAACTCATACCTGCACCTGTTGATTTTCCTTTCCACTTTTTGGTTTCGTGGCTTGCGGATGACGGAACCCCGCGGGGGACCTGGCCAGTCCCAACAGGGCGAGAGCGAGCGAGCGAGATCGAACGAGTCAGAGAAATTAGAGCTAGCTGGCCCCTCGAAAAACCTTTTGCTATTAAGTTACTACGCATATTATTGCTGGCAGCACTTATGTGCGAGTAATAACTGAGTAATAATGCTCGCTTCGCAAGGCTGCTTCGAGTTTATTCCCACGATCATTAGCTCAGTTGTGCTTCTGCTGTCACATGCTTAAAAGCACTTGCGCGCGTTACATAGGCCACATGCTGCGCCCAGGGTTGATTACTTGTTGTGATGAACTTATGCCTCCTACTGTTGAGCCACAACTGCGTCCCGATGCTTCAATGGCGATGCTTGCATGTGAACCTGGCGCAGCCGGTGGAGTTCGATCAGGTCATCGAGTCTTTCCGCGATTTCATGAATGCCGTCCTCACCCGCGGATACCGGTTTAAGGCGCATGTAATTCAGCACAGAAAGATAACCCAGAAAACAAAAGCCTGTTTGGCCGCGAACTCAGGACAAGATTTTCCGGAACGACATGATGGTCCTCCTCATGTACATCTCCAAGCGTGTAGAAAATCGCACCCTCTTCGCCTCCACCGGGTGCGCACCATGGAGTGCAGCCAACTGAACACTGTACATCCAAATATTCAAGCTGCCAGGCTTATGGCGCTGCTCCTGAGCTATGCCGTCCCTCTGGCTCAAAGAGACAAAAGACATGAAGTCGTGCTGCTTCGCCGGTGAGACCGATGTCATCGTGCACTGCTCTGTCTCGCGAAATGTGACAGTTCGACACGAGTGTGAATGGCCCATCCCAGGTGTCAGAGGCACGGCGAAGGGAGTTGCTGCAGAGCGGCTTTTTGGAGCCTCAGCAGAGCTTGCGACCCATGCGCACTTATGCAAGCGACTTCAATTATTACTTAGGAGAAGTACTTGCGAGAGGCCCGAAGTCGCCTTTGTGTGAGTTCTTTCAGCAAAGTGGTCTGGTGCAGGCCCGTGTGTTGCCTGACCTGGGCGATGGTGCCAAGGTGACCGCGAAGCACAAAGGATCAGGCTAAGATTTATGTCGTCTTGCCAGGCCTCCAAGGGTATACCCCTCACCAACACCCAGGAGGCGACCAGCAATGCAGCCGAAGGGCGTTTCCTTCGTGATTGCTGCGAGGACATGGAATTCCGCACCTTGCTTTGGGGCACTTTGGCGCGATGCTGCTCCTCCGAGCCATGTGCCGAGGCAAAACCCTCAAAGCGGAACGCCAAAAAAGACCACCTTTTTTTGCTCCCTCCGCGCATTCTTCGCTCATTCTTCGCTCATGCACGCGCGGGGAGTCTCCTTTTTCCCCTGCTCTGAAGGCAGCTGTGCAGTGTGGCTTCGTGGAGTCCCTCCTCGAGTGCTTGGATGCCGGGTTCCGCCAGCGTTCCCCTGCCGAATGCAATGGTCGGTGATGAAACAGCTACTGAGGCCGAGGCACCGCCAGAGAAGTGGAGCCAAGAGCAACGGCGACAGGCGCCCTGTTGTCACCAACAGGCTTAAAACGGTGTCTTGAAGATCGGGAATCGAGAAGAAAAGCATTGACCCAGCAGCCCGAGTTCGCACGCTGTCAGCTCTGTTGACGGCTGAGCGAAGATCGGATTCACAGTGATGGCTTGAATTCACCATCGAGGCGACAGAACGCTCGGGCAGTCTTGTTTCGCAGAATTCCTTTATGGCATGCTGAGCCAAAGCTTAAACAACTGCAGGGGAGTAAGATTAGACTCGGAGTGACATGATGGAATGCTAGCAGCTTTGCGATGCAGGTACAATTGGAAGCCTTGTCCTCCTTGTTCCAGCTGGTCCTACATCTCAGCTTTTGAGTGCCCTTATATGCCTTCAGGGCACATCCAAGCGAGGTACAATACGTGCCGGACGCCTTCATGGAGGCACAGGGCAATGCTATGGTCTTGCAGCTGCTTCAGGCCAGGGTCTCGCTGGAGTGGGTTGTTGCTTCGAAACACTGCAGATCAAACTTGAGCCACACTCCCTCTCTCCTGTGCCCAAATAGCCATGTCTTGATGCTCTTTAGGCAACGCGAAGCCGGGAAGTTCAGAAGAAGTGCCTTCACTTACTGCAGGTGCGCACATGTGCGAACTGTGCGTGCCAGATGTGTTGAATTCGCTCGCCGAGCACACGCCTCTGATTCTGTGAGTTCTCTGTGAGGTCGCTGTGCGCATGGGCCCACACTTTGCCGAGGAGCGGAGTGATGCGCGCACAACACTCGCTTTTTGCTCGCCCGAGCTGAGTGCTGGCAGAATCTGGGTCAGCTTGGAGCCGTGGGGACTTTAGTGGAGCTCTTCACGGACAAGGCGAGATGAGCGGGTAGGTAGACCGACAAGAACACCAATCGCCACGAAGCCCGTATGCGAACCCTCGCTGACTGAGGACAATCCCATGACCTCCAGGCAAATGTGCGCCTCGGTCTTGGCGACCATGTGCCGACCCCAGCCTTGGACCAAGGCCGAGCATGCCCAGAATTGTTGTGCTGGAGCAAAAATGGAGCAGTAGGCAACGGCAGGCAACCGGCAAAACCCGTCCAAACATGCGTCAAACTCAAGCTGCTGAAGCTGCAGCTAGGGTTGTCGGCGTTGTCGGGATGTCACATTGGTCCCAGTTTTTGTTCAACTGGCGCCAGCCCGCATTTTTCAGGTGCAAAGAGTACCCCGAGAATGCTCGCGAATTCCGAAAAAAGGACGGTGTCGAGGCCATGCGTGACGAGGCAGGGAGAGCTTGAGGTTCAGCTTTCAGGGGCGGTGGCGCTGGCTGAGCTCTGACTTGAGGTGGTCTACCGGCCCGGTGAGACCACTGACAACCACCTCTTCTATAGCTTATGTGTGGTGGATTGTGCTTCGGGCTCAGAGCATCGGCGATTTCTCTCGGGAACCGCTCGGGCCTTCCTGAGGTGTGGAACGCCGTCGTAGGAACCCGCAAGAACGAGATCCGGTTCTTGGACGCAGGTGGACAATCGAAGTGTTGGGCGAAATTCGCATGCTGGCTCACTGACAAGAAACCCTCTGCGATTCGAGTTGTTCGTGTCGTGTTGTGTGGACTCGCGAAAGAGGTGGGCTTTTCGCACTTCTCGATTGCCTCGAGGTGGCTCCGATGCTCCTGAAGCACCTTGGTGAAGACCGTGGCAAACACTGGAATCACTAGAACACTAGAGCCTGGATACTAGTGGCAGCACGATAGGCCGATGGGCATCCACTAAACTTGCACAGAGCTTTGAGGGTAGCTTATGGAGAGTGCCGTCTCTGGCATGGGCTACGAGGATATGATTGGTTGCTACTTCGAAAAAAGCCTGTGTGCCTTGTCCACGGACGTCCCGACTGGTGAACAGCAGATGTGAGCTAAGAAGGCGCCCTTCCGCCGCGAAGCAAGGATCCGTACACGGAGGGACGGGTCGGCCGGCTGCCATGGGCTCCTCACAGCTCTCTGCAGAGCCAGGGCCAGGAAGAAGGGCTGCGGCGCATGAATTCTCGGGGGGCACCTCGCGATATCCTGGTTTCCTTCGGCTGCGCAAACTGCTCTCTGGGGCCTTTTGCAACTGCTAAGCACGTCCTCAACGATTCCTCAAAGCTGGACCTTCGTGGCTTTCAAATCAGTGATACCCAGTTGTCGATAGCATCCTCGACAGCATAACGATTGCTATGTCCATCGTAGGACGGACGGAACTTTGGTCGCAACGTGCTGGAAGGCACTCAGCCTTTGCAGTTCCTCCAGGGGCTCTTGACCTCTGTGTAGCAAAGCTCTCGTTCACATCCTAAAAGTCAGATGGTGACCATCCGTAGCCGTCGCTTGGCCTTGGATCGGATACTCCGCGGTATCGTGCCTTCGGCATGCTTTCGCCTGCTTTCGCCATAGCAAAGCATGCCAGAAAGGAAACTCTTTGCACAACTCCGCTTACGCGCAGCGCTCCAGGTATTTCCGAGTAGGTCTCTCGACCACCTTGAGATATGACCGGGGCAGTGCGACCCTCCTAGACTGTACGAGCCGCAGGGCTGCCAACAGTCTCTTTTTGACATCAGTGCACTGCCGACTGTGCGTTGATCCAGAACCTTCGCATGGTACATGGTGCAGTGGGCAGTGGGCTGAACACGGCAAGTCGAAGTTCTGAGGCGGGGGGTGGGTGAGGGAATGAAAAGCTTAAACACCGCCTGCAGAATTCTCCGTTGGCGCTTGGGTGCTTTTCCACTGCGCTTCAAAAAGCATCCGGCCGAGGCGGCAGATCATCGGATGCCTGGCAGATCTTATGGAATACAAGAAGGCCGGGTTTCGTTCCGCCATTCGGCGCCTTCGGCGCCTCCGCAGTCCGCCACGACTTCAGGCCGCCAAGCTCTTCACGCAGTGGAACTCGCAGGAGCTCCGAAAACATGCGGCGATTTCGGCGCTAGGACCGCTAGGAATCTGCAGTATGCAGCATGCAGGTGACCATGAAGGGTGCGCTGAGACTTCTCCTAGAGCTTTGGCAGTGTGAGCAGCAGGCACATGGCATGTCGCTGCAACATGCAACGCATCGCCGCTTTAAGCCACAGGCCGCAGGGAATTTGGCTCCGGATGGTGTGATTCGTGACCTGGCGCCCCGGCGCAGACACGCGCAGACGCTTTGGGAAGAAAGTGCTTGCCCGAGCACTCGGCCAAGGAACAGCCTCTGAATCCTCGGGCACCACCAACGCTGGCTGACACCTCACCGCCATTCAGTGAGGAAGAGACCTCAATAGTTAGCAGCCCGATTGGGTCAGGCTCTTGGCGAACTCATCGATGACGGTGACAGCACCGTCACCAGCACCAGCCGCAACAGTCAGCCTTCACCCAGTTACATGTGCCCTTCATGTGCCAGCGCTCTCCTCAGGCCGTTTCGCCGGGAAATTTCGACACGCCAAGAACTTTGCAGACACGGCCGGCACGGGCACCAGCGTAACGACGGCCAGCCATGGAAGAACGCAGAAGGCGCGGGCCGCCCTGCAGGATGACGTTTGCGCATGGCATGTGGCATCGTGGCAGCGCGTGGCAAACGAGGCCTTCGAGAAGGCCCCGGCTTCGGCACAGCAGCGGCAAGGATCGCAGTGGCTCTCCAGCGGCATTGAACAGGACCCAGCCTTCGCACTTTTCCCGTTTCCTTTTTATCATGTGAGAAGAGTCGTTTCTGTGAGCCGTATACGTTCTGGTTCTGGAGGATTGCAGGACGCTCAGAGATGGGATTTGGGTGCGGAGAGAGGTGCGGTGCGGTGCGGTTCTCAGTCCCAGGCCGAGCCAAGATCTACGCCGTGCTGAAATGCATCGGCTTCGAGTGTCAAGAGACCCTCAGCATCGCAGAGAGGCCGTTTTTCCACGTCACGCGCCTTCTTTCCAAGTTTCCGGCGAGTTTAACCGCAGATCTATTCCCCCCTTTCCCTCTCTCACAGGCAGCAGATGGAGCTTGTCAAGCTCTTTCCAATGGCAGCACCGCGCCTCATGACAGGAGGTTTAGCACCCAGGAGCGCTAGTATAGCCAAGGTGGAGCTTGAGATGTGGATCAAGGCAAGTGGGATGTCAGAGGCACCCCACTTCGGAAAATGAGATTCCCACACTTTCCAAAGGTGCAGGAGAGTTTGGCCAACCGGGGCATCAAGCCCGTGAGCGCAGACAGGCAGTGGATCGAGGACGAGATCGGCTTTCGCTTCGTAGAATTGTTTTGCATTTAACCACTGAAGTTTGGCTTTGTTTTTTTCTTGTTGGGCACCTGTGTGTTGCAAGTAGTTCTGCAGACTTTTCCAAGGTCGAGACGTCGTGAGTTCGAAATACGAAGTTTCCGAAGTAGCTAGTGGCAGACTCGCAAGAGCTAGAGGATTGTGTGGTGGAGCGCAGAGACCAAGCAGCCTGGGTGCAGAACGCGGGCTCCTCGGATCCCTCGGAGAACTCAGAACAGCTACTTCTCGCCACAGATCCAGAAGAAGTTGGCCGAAGAGAGGCAGACCGAGGAGGAGGCGCAAGTCGCAGAAGCGCGGTTTCAAGATCAGGGGGACGGGGAGTGGGGAAGAGCAACTGCTTCGCAGCGCTTCTCGGAGGCAAGCCTGGAGCGCTTCTACAAGGCACGCGACGGACGCCCCCCCCCGGAAATCAATGGGGAAAGGGAGCGCCTGGCCTGCGTGGCCTACATTTGCTGATCGCCTTTGCTGCCACAGGATCTCCGCGGCCGCGCCCAGATCCAGAGGATGACGCAGCCACCAGGCGTGCCGAGCGTGCCGGTGCAAGCGCCTTTGGTGGAGCATCCCAGCTCGCGCAGGTTACCCGCCGCACCTGGGTAGTAAAGACAGTGACATGTGGAATGAGCGCCTACCTCGGACGGCCGCTGCTATGCTGTTCTCGCCTTCCTTGTCGAAGTTCCGGGGAGTGGGGAGGGGAGGGGAGAGCTCGGGAAGGTCGGAATGCAAGGAGGGAGGCAGTGAGGGAGGGTCTAAAATTCCACTATACAATCCAGACAG